TAGATATCTATCAATTTCATCCACCAGTACTAGTTTTTCCTTATGAAGCATAGCAAACAAATCTGTTCCTTTTTTAGAGGACCAGTAAAACTATTTAAGTTCAAGTCAGGATTTCTCAGAATTCAGGCAGAATTTCCTAACTGCTCATTTGCTAGTTCTGTGCATAACCTGCTTTCCTGATACTTTGGTCCCTAGGGCTCATGTCTGAACACACTCTTAAAATATGGCACCCAGGCCTGAACAGACTAGTTCAAATATGGTCACCAGTGCAGAAAATAAGCAAAAAGCCTGCTTCTTTCAGCATGGAGGCACAATCATTCTGACACAGCACAAGCCTCCATGCAAGATAGCTGCCATACTACATGCTTTGGCTTATGTAAAACTGTGGTCAGGTTGCATGCATGTCCCGGCCTCTAAGTTAATTCTCATCTAACTGCTACCAAATAGGATCTTTCCAGGATTAAATGAGGCTTTACATATCTTCACAAATTTTCATCTATTTAGTTTGGTTAAATAAAGTGTTTTCCAGCTTAGACAGATTATTTTGGATCTGTTATCAGTAGTCAAAATGGTGACGGGAATTACTGAAGTCATCAACACCAGCAGAAAAATAAACTTAATATAGACTTAAATGTATTATTTGGCTTGTTTGTGGGCTTGGTTTAAATTTATCTCTAACTAAAAGGTTCTTCATTAGAAGATGGCTTTAGCAAATACTAGTATAGGAAAACTGCCCAGCTTTTGAATGCTAATGCCCAGATCAGGGGTGAGGAGGGGGAGGCAGTGACAGAGGTTGCAAGAAGGGGGAAACATTCAAATTTAAGAGTTTGTATTCTGGAAACAATTTATAAAACTCAACTTAATTCATGAATATAGGTAATTAAAAGGAACATTTGGAACTAAGGAGAAATATCCCTCAAGGACATTTCAAACAAAAATTAAAAAAACAAAAAACAAAAAAAGACTCTTCTTTTCCCAATGATCTTCCCTTAAGAGGTACTGAGGGCAATTTATAGAACTAATGGAATGGTCAAAAATACCTCCGTGAATTCAATTAGCTAAAAGAGAAGGGTCTGCTTGGAAGTGAGTTTTTAGATTTGACAGTCAGAAATGGGAAAGAGAGGGAATTCATGATAACTGACAAGAAAGGGACATAAACCACAAAAGTCATGCTTTGGTTCAAAAGGCAAAAGCCATCAGATTATTCAAGCAAAGTGATCATTAACTGGGGTATCCTGGGAGCATGTACGAAATAACAAAGTTTCTAATTCAATCAGATTATAGAGGTGACTAAATACACAATTATTTTGTCAAGAGACTATGCCAGAAACACGCTGTTTAGAGAAACAAAGTAGGAATGCTGGTAACACATTCTCAATCCTTGATATGGTTTAGGAGTATTTTCTCTAGTGATAAGGCTGAATCAGGAAACAAGCTGGATAGAGGAAGGAAACTGGAAAGGTGGGGGGAGGGAAAAAATGAGAGAAGCAAAAAAAAAAAGAGGAGTATCAGGAAGTTCAACAAGATAGGAACTAATGGAATTTGTTTTTTAGCGTCTCCAACTCCCACTTGCACACCAAGTGAGAAAAGATACATACACACACATACACACACACACACGTATCTATAACTCCTGGCAGGCACTGGCCAGCACAAGTATATGCTGTAGGTCTCAAGGGGCCCTAGCAATCTCAGTTCAATATATTCGATCATTTCTTTGTCTCCACAGAAAGTGCATACATCTCCAATTTAGGTGCACTCCAATCCAGAGTCATTGTCTTCCTATTACAAAGATGATGGGGAAAGGAAGGACTTGGAAATTAGAAATGTACAACCAACCATTCCCATACACAGCAGTTTACTAAAAGGTTTCTGACTACTCGGTAGTGTGTGAGGATCTTTCACTATTTAAGCAAGTAGTTCTGAATAGCCAGATTCAGATAGGGCAACAGTGCCGCTAGATTGTCTCTGCGGCTTGAGAAAACACTGAGCACTGAGAAAGTCAGAGGGTAGTTCCTAAAGAGACAGGAAGGTTTTAATTTCTTTAAAAATACAACACAGTTAAGCCTATGAAACACTATTCCAGAGTGAAATGCAATGTCTAAAGGCCAATTTCTGTCAAATGGGATTGATTTTTAAAAACACAAAATGGCATAAGCAAACATTCATTCAATAATCCTTTCTTGAGAAACTACTAGGTGTACCAGTGGATTATGCTTGGCATAGGATTGAAAGTTAACTGATGAATATTTCCTACTCTCAGAGAAGAGACAGCTATTTATTAATTAAAACATTCCAAAAGGAAAAAAATATTTCAAATATCAACCTTGAAGCTCTACAAACCATTTTTAAGATGAGAAACAAGTCCATTTTTAAAAAACAGAAGTGCAAGGAGATTTTAATTTACTGAATTCCTACCATGTGCCAAGCACTGACTCAAGGCCATGCCAGAGGCCCAGAGATGAATACAACACAAATCCTCTCTCTTTATGTAGTTTACTGTCCAGTGTGTGTGATGGATGAAAAACTCCATGTGTAAAAATACAGGAGATTGATTTCTTCATTTGATGTGTCAAGATCAGAGAGAGGATAAAAGGCATAATCGAAATTTCATCAATGTGTCCCAGACATCTTAGGTTTAGCTTAGATTGTTATTTTGATGTGGTTTTTTTTCCTACATATTATATTCAAAATAATTAAAGAATCAGATTCCTGGTCTGGCACAGTTTGCTCCTCTACATAATACAAGGCTCACTACTACTACTACCCTCACAAAGAAAATGTTCATTTTATATAATTTTTTTTTTAACTAGGAAGATTTTTTATGCACAGTCCTGGATTTTAAAAATTCCTTTTGGATCAAGGACTCCCAGGAAAATCTGATGAAAGCTCTGGACTTTATATATCCATACTTACATGTACATAAGCCCACAAACAAATTCTGCATGCAACTTAGAGGAGTTCACCAACCCACTATAATGAGTGTACCCAGAGATACTGTCCAAGGACCTCTCCTGCACTGACATGTTACACAGAACAAACCTGTCATATAATAATGATACCACTTTATATTTATCATCACTTTACAGTTTCATGTACTTCTGACATTACTAAAGGACTTCATCAATACATTTGGATTTTATTTTTTAATTTTTTTTTTAACGTTTATTTTTATTTTTGAGACAGAGAGAGACACAGCATGAACGGGGGAGGGGCAGAGAGAGAGGGAGACACAGAATCGGAAGCAGGCTCCAGGCTCCGAGCCATCAGCCCAGAGCCCGACGCAGGGCTCGAACTCGCATACCACGAGATCGTGACCTGAGCTGAAGTCGGACGCTCAACCGACTGAGCCACCCAGGCGCCCAAATACATTTGGATTTCAAAGACATCAAACAATCTGATTTCTACAGGGCATTTTCTAAAGTTCCACAAGATAGAAGACATACAATCTAGCAAAAGACATAAAAGCTAGCAAGCATTAAGTGTCCAAGGTAGATCATGGAAACTACGATCAGCCCTTAAAATCTGGGTACTGATTGTTACAGATGTAAGTGGACCCAGCATGTAACTGTGAGAGATCAAATGGCTGATACATAGAACATTCAATCTTGAATCAGACAATTGTGTTGACAGCAGCAGTTGCTGAGGTTGGGGAAGGTGCAGGGAAGGGAGTTGACTACAAGTGGAGGTAGTATGAGGGAGATCTTTATGGTGAGGGAATAGTTCTGTAATTAACTGAGACAGTGGTTACAGGATCCACAAATGGGATAAAGTGGCATACACAGAACTACACACACAGACTGTATGAATGTCACTTTCCTGGTTTTCATCTTATGCTATAGTTGTACAAAATGTAATCACTGGGATAACTGGGTGAAGAGTACAAGAAACCCCGCTGAACTATCCTTGCAACTTCCTATGCATCTGTAATTATTTCCAAATAAGAAGCTTTAAAGCAAAAAGCCAAAAAAAAATCTGTTATTAATTAAGGGTTGCAGATATTTCTTGAATATAAATGTATTCAGATCATTTGATGCATATGAGAAACCAGAAAATGCACAAGTAACACAGCATCTGTGCTCCAGAAACTAAAGCTAGCTCTTTCTTTTTTTTCTTTACAGCACAAGCGGGGAAGGGGCAGAGAGCAAGGGAGAGAGAGAGAATTCCAAGCAGGCTCCTCATTGCCAGCACAGAGCTCGTGGGCTCAAACTCATGAAACTGTGAGATCATGACCTGAGCTGAAACCAAAAGTCGAATGCTTAACCGACTGAGCCACTCAGGCGCCCCTGGCTGGCTCTTTCTTTCAGCTCCCACCAGCACAGTAAATTGTTCCCAAAGCTGGCCCAGGCATTTGTAATATGCTTCTGAACCCACCATAGTTCAATTCTGACTGAAGGCAAGGCAGTGAGGTTTTGGAAGTTAAACCATTATTTTCAGCAAAATAATAGCCAACCATTTCCCCACAAAATTATGATGACGTATTAACTGCTTATGTCTCTAACAAAATCTCAAAGAAAATTTCTGAGGCATAACTGGACTCATTTAAACATAGATTTTTTTTTTTTTTTTTAATGCACAAAAGTTAATTAACATTGTGGGAGAGGGAAAAGGATAAGGACTTTGGAGTCAGAGGGACCTGGATTTAAACCCCATTTGTGCTGTGTTGGACCTTCATAACAAATCCTTCTGAGCCTTGGTTTCCTTAGTGCTAAAAAGGTGATAATAATGCCTACTTCACAGAAGTGTTACAAGGATTAAATGAAATACTATCATATATGTCTCTCACAGTGTCCAGCACATACATGCTTCATAAGGTTGTAGTTTCTTTTCTATCACTACAACAGTCAGGGGTTATAGAAATCAGTAAGTCAGGCTAAGTTGTGAGAGAGACAATGTTGCCCAAGCCAGATGTGGTCAATGCCCAAGGTTCTTTAAATCCAGATGCAAAGACAAGATTACCATCAGCACCTTAACCAGAGCACCCAGGGAGGATTACTACTTCAACATTCAACACTGCCATGGTGTCTAAGATTCTTTAGGTATTTGACCTCCAGCAGCACCTTTACCTTGGCAATGCCAAATATAATTTCAGGCCAATACTGTTAGGGGGTCAAGGGAGTAAAAACAAGTGATCCTACTTCCAACTGCAAACAGGAACCAAAAGAGGTTGTATTTTCAAACAAATCTCATCAAAGGCCTCCTGCCCTTGGCTATAAGGACCGTTGTAACTAACATGGTAAGGTTTCATAGCAACAATTTATTCAGGGAAGGTACAGGTGTGCCTCAATGAGAGCCAACTCTATATATGAAAATCCACACATATCTAAAACTTAAATTTAAAAGTGATTCTGCTTTAGAGAGAAAGGCAAACCAAGAAATAGACTCTTACCTATTGAGAACAAACTGAGGGTTACCAGAGGGGAGGTAGGTGGGGGCACGGGTGAAAGAGGTGATGGAGATTAAGGAGGGCACTTGTGATAGCACCGGGTATTGTATGGAAGTGCTGACTCACTACATTGTACACCTGAAACTAATACTACACTGTACTTAATGCTAACTGGAATTTAAATAAAAACTTAAAAGTGACTCTGCTTTACAGAAATACTTCTTAGTTGGTGTCTTAAAATGTGATTAGATTTAAATACATTCCATGTTATACGCAAATACGTACAGACGTATATTAAATGTCAAATACCACCGGGGCCCAATCTACTCCTTGTACTGCATGCAGCAGAGTGTGACCAGCAGCATCGGCATCACCTGGGAGCTTCTCAGAAATGCAGACTCTTGGGCCCCACCCCACCCTCAAGAACCAGAACCTGCAGTTTAATAAAATTCCCAGACGGTCTGTGTCCAGATTAAGATTTCAGAAGCCCTGTCCTAGGCAATATTCGTAATCCTAAAGTCAGAAGCTCTCCCAAATGTCACATATGACAGGGCTTCTACTAGTGGCTCTCAATCCTTACTCCCAATAATCACCTGTGTCATCTGGGTAGGCTTTATTTGATATTAAAACGATTTTTCTTCTTCTCTTTTTAGTACCTATTCCTGGACCCTAACCCCAAATTAGGATTTAACTGGCCTGGGGTGGCACCCTGGCATTATCATTTTTTAAAAAGCTCCTTAGGTGACTGAGTGCAAGAGATGCTGAGAACCACTGCTACAGACCAAGTGCTGCGTCCTGATATAAAACTTCCTCAGCGAACAATCAGGATGTTCAATGCATCAACAAGAGGAGGACTGTAAGCTGGAATGAGAGATGAAGACACGCCTGGATATAAATCTTGCACAAAGCACAGGATCCTATAAGGCCGGTCTTCTCCACACCAACTGCACCAAAATAGATTTTCCCTGGGTTAGTACCAGGGAATTGTTTCCAAAGCTCCTCAAATACAGGCTCATGTCAACGTGGTCATGAATGACATCACCGTCAAAAGGCCAAGTAATACCAGACAGTGTTGAAAACCTCAAGGCACCTAACATCAGTAGTCCTCAGGCAGATGTCTGCCAGAGGATTAGAAACCTCTAATTGCCTTTAACAAAAAGCTTTCCTGTGCTTACCACAGAAGTTCTTTTAAAGTTCTACCAAAAGTTTCCTTCCCTGATCTGTTCAACCATAAAATTTCAAACAGAGTGCTACAAAAGACCACGGTTTCAGGCAGCAGGGAGAAAAAGGCAGGCCAAGTAATCCAAGAACACAAAGATCCAGAAATGCCAGCACAGTAAGAATGCAGGATTGACAGAGCTGGAACAAAAAGGTTATTTTCAGGGGTCCAGGATGGACTATGGGGCCGAGGCAAAGGTGCCAGGTGTGGCCATGGGAGGGCATGGTTAGGTCAGTGCAGAGGTGATAGAACATCCTTGAGGATACTCAAATTATGGAGCATGATCAAAGGACAGTGATTAAAGAGGAAGACTCAGATAAGACAAATGCAGTCTTTAGTGAACAAGGCAGGGGCCTGCCTGCGCCAATCCAGGTCATACAGTCACCACTGAGGGGCAGAGGGGTGACCAGAAGCAGGGCTGTCTGATGATCCTCTGCTCTTTCCAACAGCCTCTCTGGGAGTGAAACATCCAGTGTGGCCTGATGATAGTACGCCTCCTCCCTAACGGCCCACCTGCCTTTGACATGACTCAGCAGAGACCTATAAACACCGCCCCTCAGCGAGCCAAAGGAGCACTGCTTCCTCAGTCCTCACTTTAAAGGTGTAGGGGCAGAAAAGCCCTGACAAATGGAATTTAGTCCCAACCTGCAAAAGAAATCACCGAGCAAAAATTTCTAATAACTGCTTATTCTAGAGTCTTCGGAAATAATATGAAGTAACAAAAAGCTACTACCCTGGAAAAATTCCTGTCAGTCTAGAGAAATGTCAGAAAAAATTGCACCAGGGCCTTGGCTAGAAACCAATAAAGAAACCTAAGTAGGACACACCAGATTAACTGAGTAATAGTTATAGCAACCATACTGCGGATTTTTGGAGGCGACACCAATTTTAAATTTTTACTCCTATATCTCCAGAAACCCCTATTTCACAAATTCTATTTTGACATCCAAACTCAGGACTGCCTCTTACTTTGGAAATGGCACAAAAAACTCCATACTAAATTACAAAGCCCAATTTACTAATGAAGCTTATGAATTATGGACTCATCTCATGTAGGGTACGGTGTAGTCACCCTGCTCTCGCCTAGTTTTAAGACAAACACTATTGTACAATGGAGGAAATACTACATCCAAATCCCTTACAGATTCTTGGTGATGATCCTACACTTTCAAAATGTTTTTAAAAGGAAGCAGACCAGGACAGGACTATGTAGATGACATTGTCCCTCCCAAGCCACATCCCAAACAGTTATGCAGTCTGAGCAAACAAAACCGCTGCAAGCATCCTCGGATGGGAGAGACATTTTCCCCATTGAATATGTCAGCAAAGGCATTCTTCCCAGAGTTTACTCTAGTCCTCACACAAGGGAAAAAGCAGGTGACACATACTCTTCTTTAGAATCCTTGTATCTTCCAACTACTATTATTAAGAAGGTCACATTTAGCCTTTGAGACTTCTCACATCTTTTTTTTGGAGCTTTATCTAAAGAGTACTATCAGTAATAGATACAAATAGTTCTACGCACAGCTGAAAACCAAGCGGTGTTGAAACAGAACATATCAATTGTATGTGGCTTAATACCTCAGGAGTCTTCTTACTCTGTCTTTTCCCAAAAATGCAGTCAAGATCTGTTTTGCTCCGAGATGATAGATCCTTCCCTAGAAAAACAACACGGTGCCTTTCAGTAATACCATTCTTTCTAAAATAAGGGGCACAAATATAAACTATGAGAATCCTGAAAGCAAAATGGATTTTGGAAAAGAGACAATTTTGTAAACTACTTTCTGCCTCCCTTCACAACAACTCCTTAGTTAACAAGTAAAATCAAATAAATTTTAAAATGACTTAAAACTCAAGACAGTGTTTCACAACCAGAATCCGTGATGGTCTCTTCTTTATGGTAGAAACAATCAAAAGCATGTAGCATGAGAGGAAAACTGAATTTCAAAGCTAGCTCTACTACTGGTATACCTTTCACTTATGATTTCTGGGTCTCTGGGTCTCCCATTTATAAAACAGATATTTTTTACTTCAAGGAGACATGAGTTACTCAGGATTATGAAATGCAGAACAAAAAATGCTGGTAGCTTTACAGCTTTTAAACACACACGAATGAGAGCATACTGTATTTGACACATAGGAGCTCAATAACTAATTGAATGAATGAGAAAAAATTCAAAAAGAATAAATGCAAACAAAAATTACTACATTAGGGTGAAAGGATTTCAGATTTTTCTCTTTAAAATGTTCTCTACTGTTACAACTATATCATCTTTAAATAAAAGGATACATAATAAGAGCAGGAAATGAAATGGCTTCTGGCAAAGCACTGTCCAAAGGACCTATGGCTCTTATTAAAAACACTAAACTCTTTAACTTAATTTCAAACCCACAAACCAACTAATTTAAAATTCACTTCTTTGGAATTTCCACTTCTACCAATAATATTCTGTGAGCAGTCAACTGAATCTCTTCCCATTTGTCAACTACATGGCAAATGCACTTTAAAATGTAACTACTACATGTAAAGTCTTGAGGCTCCGGGGGAGTTAGGCTCTAGGTTAGACACAGGAATTTTTGTTTTGAGTAGGAAGCCTAAGTTCCAATGTCATGGACCCACTGGTCTTCTTAGCTTCCTGTAGCAAACTGACTTGGCAAAGTAATGGCATGACCCAGAAAGTTCTAGTTCACTGACAATCACTGGGGCATTCAAATATGATATCGCTCAGTGACTCCATGAAATTAAAAAACAAAACAGCCTTGGATTTAATGCAAAGCCAGGCGCCATAACCACTTTCATAGGCAGCAGTACCAGATTCAATGGTCCAGTCAATACGACCTGTTTCTATCAGGAAGGACATGTTCCTTCATGGCTCTGTGTTACTCTCTCCTTTCTTCCTGAGCTAGAAACAAAGCCCTCCTGGTTCTGATTATTAAGCAGACCCATACAACAGACCCCATAGGAAACCTACTTAAGAACAAAATGAAGCATATCCCAGACAAGAACTCAGAAAATGAACCAGAAAAGTGGGGAATAACACTGCTCATGGTGGGGAGAAGTGGACAAACCCTCAGGAGGAGGTCTAGAGATCTATTCTTAGCTTTGTCATCAGCATAACCCATTTTGCATGGCAGAGCACATTCAGGGTGGCAGCTTCTATTTCAGAAAAAGGAGTTATACTTAGTTCAAAATATGTATTCGCCGTCTATCCCCAACCTATCTTCTGGAATGGAACAGAAACCCTAAAAGAAATGCAAATTAAGATCTCTTTTATAGCAATTCAACTAAAAGGAATGCTGAAGGGATTAAAGAAGGCAGGGTACATGCAAGATCACAATTCTAAAACAGGATGTCAAACTATGAACACGCAGAGATTGAAAACAAATCTAAACATCAAAGGGAAAACTGCCAAGCTGGGAGAGACAGTAAGCTGTACCAATGAAGGTGCAAGTGTTTCTAAGGTTTTGGTGATGGGTTCTTGTATCAGAAATTTTTATCCTTTAGAAAGTTCACTTAAGTAAATGTGGAAACCAGGATTGTTACAGGCCTTGCTCTGGATTTGATCTGGAAAACAAAACACAGAGAAGAATTAAGAGTCAGAGACCAATGGAAAGGGACTTAAAAATAGATCAAAATGTGAAGATGGAAGCAATACTGAAATAGTTATTAGTCAATGGTCTTGGGTGAAAAGTTTATCAACGTTACAAAATTATGGCCATTTTGGAATCAGGTAAATATATTAAAACTGAGTTTGAAAGCTTACTGGTCTCAGTTTTGAATTAAGGTTAAATCAAAACAAATACTGTTGATAAACTTAGATGTTAGAGAAAATGACAATCAAAAACTAAAAGGAAATATGTGTTCTCTGTCTGAATTTGGGTCATCTATCTATTAGTCTTCAATTGGCCATAACATTTTGAGAACCAGGAAAAACAGCTTCCAGTAGCCAAGCTGATAGAACTTAAGTCCATAAAAGGATAAACAAGTACTTTCAGAAAAGAGTACTTTATGATCTTTTTAGCTGTTTTTCTAGTAATCATGATTATTAGGTTTTCCAGTCTATCCAAGTGGCAATTTGGAAAGGAGAGAAGTTACCACTATAGTCAGATACACTTTACAACACCAAGGAGTCCACAAGGGAAGCAAATGAAACTACAAAAAACAAACATAAGAATTGAAGAATCACAGAGATTTGGAGACTCTTACTTTAAGGGTAAAAGTCATATAGAACCCAACAAGTTCTAAGGAAAAAAATGTATTACAGCACTGTATTGTAACAAAGACTTAAAAAAAACCCTGAGTTTTCTACTCAGAGTAAAGGGGCGAGGGCAAGGAAATGCAGGTCTGAGAAATACGTTTGTTAAAATTTAAAAAAACCCAAAAAACAAACAAAAAAACCACTGCAGGTGTATGTAGGAAGCTTCATTTGCTTAGAAATTTCATTTGCGTTCCCCAATAAAGGATGAAACACTGCATTCTGATTTCTGTTTTTAATGAAAATACATGGGACCGATAATAATCCTACGACCAAAGATTATGGCAACGTCACTGAGAGGGTGATGTCAGAAAACCAGGAAAACTGAAGGAAACAGAGTAGGGAATGAAAAGAAGTGAGACCCTCACAACCAATAAGACAGTCAGGATTCTGTAAAAGCCTGCCATGGTGCTATTTTATATTTAAATGGCAAAAGAATCAGAAGAGGAAACTGGATGCCCGTCACCAGCAGAGTCCGATGTGGGGAGGAGGTCACCACGCCAGCAGTCCTACAGTCTGGTGTGTCCAGGCTAGCAAGCTGGCTACCAGGACCTGTGCTGTCCGCACAGTTTCCTTGTTTAAGAAGCAAATACTGCAAACTGTCACAGGAATAAGAAGGCTGAGTACTATTACTAGGGTGAAGCTGCACAGCTTCAGTTCGTGCGACCTTTCTTCTAGACACCACCCATGTGCAGGGGTGGGGTGCTGTGGGAGGGAACCAAAGTGCTCTGACAACTTCCCCACTGCATATACTAAACACTTCAAAAATGGTTTTGTAGAATTTCACATTCTCCCTATCTTTTCCTCTCTGTAGATGAGGCCTCAACAAACATTTTTCAAATTAAAAGAAACTGCACTGAAGTTAGGCTTGTTAAACAAATACAGATGAAATTAACTTTTAAGTTATATAATAAATTGTTTCAAAATAAAAGCAGAAATTTGGGACCAGAAAAAGGAATAATTATGTATTAGAACTAGAATGATATAGCCAGTATTTAGGCAACAGTATATTTTACAGTGCTATTCACTACTGGAATCTCACTGAAGTCAAATTTTTATCTTCACTCTTCAAACCAAGCTATGTAAAATGCCATTTTCCCATGATTTGGTCTCTGGACCACACATGGGAGTTACAACATGAATCACCCTCATCAAATAAGCAAATTAGTTACTGCGGGGCATACCCGCAGGCTAAAATGATTATCATTTAATATGCTGAACAATCAAAAGTTCCATAACATGGGTCATATCTGAAAAGTCATAAAATGGAACCTACTTTAGAACTTTATAATGACTGAGAAATCTTTCCTCATTTTACCTACTTATTTTTCAATAGGCTTCACGCCTAGCATGGAGCCCAATATGGGGCCCAAACACACAACCTTGAGATCAAGACCTGAGCTGAGATCAAGAGTCAGACGCTTAACCAACTGAGCCACTCAGGCACCCCTGAAATCTTTCCTTATTTTTAAGACAGGAAACTGAGTCTGAAAGAAGGTAAGTGCTTAAGTGATGTGAGAGACTAATGGCAGAACCCAAGTTTCCTGTTGATCTAAGAACATCCACCTTAGAGTGTTATGCTAAGTGAAAAAAGCCATACAGAGAAAGACAGATACCATATGTTTTCACTCTTATGTGGATCCTGAGAAACTTAACAGAAACCTATGGGGGAGGGGTAGGAGAAAAAAAAAGAGGTTAGAGTGGGAGAGAGCCAAAGCATAAGAGACTCTTAAAAACTGAGAACAAACTGAGGTTGATGGGGGGGTTGGGGGGGGGATGGTGGGAGGGAGGGGAGGGTGGGTGATGGGTATTGAGGAGGGCATCTTTTGGAATGAGCACTGGGTGTTGTATGGAAACAATTTGACAATAAATTTCATATATTGAAAAAAAAAAAAAAGAACATCCACCTTAGAGAAAACTGAGGGTTTATCATTCGTAACCAGGGACAACAATTGTTCTACAAGAAAAGATTTATTAAATGAAAGAACTTTAGAACCTGCTTTCACTGTGGATTGTTAAGATGGGTAGTAAATATATTTTTCTTCACCACCTGGATTTCTGCCTCCTTTTCCCACCTTTTCCACTTATTCTCAATCCGCATTTCCTGTATCTTCCCACTCAATCTCTGCTTCCTTTCTGACAATATATCTTGAAAGGATATATCTTTTCCCTGTATACCAATGCCCTCTTTCTCCCCAGGCAAGGCTAATAAATCAGCAAACCTCATTCAGAGAAAACGAAGGCACAACACATCATGCAGGCCGACAGGGTCACCTGGCAAGGAAGTGGCTTAACTAGAAATAGAAAGCAGATACTCCCAGCATCCATTAGATTAAAGCAGATTAAAGAGGTTTATCCCAGCTTCAGCAAACACTTCGGGTGAAATCATGCATGTAGTTAGATACTAAAGGAAAACTAGATTTGCAAAAGTGAAAGCTTCAAAGGCTGACATGCCATCTAAAAAGTTACAGGCCACTTTTCATGAATTTGCTCAGCATCTTTCTGTGATATGTCTCTTTTTTCCTATAGGTTATAATGAAAAAAGGAGGAATATTTAACGACTGGTTATAAAGTGGCGATTTAGCCTCTTCTCAGAAAGACTGAGGAGGTAACAGGGACTGTTCTTGTTCCAGAACAGAAGTGAAGTGGAGAGAAACCCCAATCAGAAACCATAGAGGACAACAACAAAGAAGGTTCTAAACTGAAAGAAGAGGGGAAGACATGAAGAGCCATACAAACCACAGCAGCTGGAAGAGGGAAAGGGGAAGTGCCTGTTTCTCTTTGTACATGTTCCCGAAGCTATTCAGCTCCCGACTCCATTAAACTCTGCCACGGGCTCTCACTTAAACCAAAACCAAACCCAAACCTTTGGGGTTTTGACCCAAGTGAGAACCATTAATTGCCAAGAGGAATGGGAATTCCAGCTCCTACTGCTGCTGAGGCAAGTTCTAGGAATTAGGGAATTCTCAATCATGCCAACTAGACTAAACCAAAGAGATGTGTGCTTCCTGGCATACAAAGATAGAAAGGTGCATCCCATCTCCCATAGGAAGGCCATCGTATGGTGACTAGATAGCACAACAGGATTATCATCACATTTATACTTGAAGTATAGTATGTAACAAATAAGCTTTTGTGCCTGGAAAGTGTACTTAATGCATAATATTATTCTATGGGAAAACATCTGGGGGAATGGAGTTCAAGTTAAATTGTTTCTTACCAATACAAGACTGCCACCTGGTGGTTACACAGGACAACTGCACTTGTAATTGGCAGCGTTTACTGGGAAGGGAGTAGGGAGGCGGTGATGGAAGAAGATGGGATTCACTACCTAGTTCTCAAATGTGTTTTCTAATGCTACTTTGCCATGACCATGGAATGCCTAAGTTAACACTCCATTCAATGAAGAAATGGTGTGAAATAATATAAATCAGTTTAGGAGGGAGATTTCTCATACTGGAGATCTCAAGATAGAACACAATTCTGTAAATTGGAATAATTTAAGAGTTATTCAATACCAACATTAAACTTCAAAAACTAGAAATTGTAAGTAAAAATGCTGAGCAATAAATTAAAATTATTTTCTGACTTAGTGACGTAAAGTCACTTTTCTCTTTTACATAGCAAGTTGACTTCTGCTTCCAGCTTTGCCAAAGGACTTGCATGTAATCTAAAACCGAATGTGGGGCCCTACCTCAGAGCTAACGGATCTGCAATTTAACAAGATCTCCAGGTGACTCACAATAAATGCTGAAACTTTAGCACTGCTGTACATCAAGCCAGGCAGGCCACCCATACTTGTCCATTCTGCACATAAAACAAGAAGTAATGTTGGATAGAGCTAAAAATGCTTTAAGAAACCTGGTATGAACATGGGGATTTCAACAACAAATAAATGCTTAATTTTACCTTTTGTGAATTTCATATAATGAACACGGTTTTTGGAGATCTTGGACTTTTCTTCAAGGCTGAAAGTTTTCTTTTCTTTGTTGTCTGAGGAGTCTTTAAAAAAAAAAAAGAAAGAAAGAAAAGCATTAAACTCTCTGAAACCCATCCCCTCATTCATTCTCTTACCATGACATGGTCTTTTTTAAATAAAATCTTTAGAAGCCCTATTATTTAATACTGAGCTCTACTCATAGGATTAGAAACACTCTCCTTAAACTGTGTACTGTGGATCAGGCAAGGCTATTCACATGAAATTTATAAAATCCTCAAGGAAGAGAAATGAAAGCTTGTGTTCACACAAAAGCCTACAAACGAATGTTATAACAGTCTTATTTATGATAGTAAAATACTGGAAATAACCCAAAATTCCTTCAATGGGCGAATGGCTAAGCAAATTCTGGTACATCTTTACGCTGAAATGCGACTCGGCAATAAAAAGGAATCAAGCTATGGATACATGCAACAACCTCATTGTGCCTGTGAAAAAGGTGGACCTACACACTATATGTTCCATTTAGAGAACGTTGTCAAAATGACAAAACTATAGAGCCAGAGAACACATTCATGGTTTCCAGGGGTCAGGGATGAATGGGGAGTGCTGGAGGATGGAGGGGTGGAAGGTGGGTGTGCATGCAAAAAGGCAGCATGAGGCAGCTCTTCTGCGGTAATGAGACAATCCTGTATCTTAACTTGGTGATGATTACATGAATTTATACACATGATAAAATTCCACACAACTTACACATACACACATACACACACACATGCGCGCACAAATGAAGGCTAAAAAAATGATGAAAACTTAATAAGGTCTATGGTCTGATTAACAGTCCACACAAGTGTCAATTTCCTGGTTTCAATGTTACGCTGTTGTTATATTAGATGTCACCCCTGGGAAAAAGTGGGTGAATGATACTTAGGACTCTTTGTAGTACTATTTTTGCAATTTTCTATATGTTTATAATTGTTTCAAAATAAAAAATTCTTTTAAAAATTGAATAAAGGTAAGAGGTTAAATGATAATCAAAAACCAGATCAGAGATGACAATCAGAGTGTGAAGGAGCAGAGCTAGCACTGAGCCATAGCCTCAAATACCAGATTTCACTAGAGACTTACCTTAAGGACAAAACAAAAACACAAACAAATTGAGGAAGAAACTCAGGTTTATTCTTTTGATAAAAAAGGAAAATGTGAGCCAGAAAGTACCTTGCCTAAAATGTCAGAGCAAGTACAACTGGGGTTAGAGTCAGTTATACTCAATTAGTTAACTAGCTCCCCGTATTCCCTCACCTTTATCTATGTGTCAAGGTCAGGCAGCAGAGTACAACAGAAACAGAACACCACAGGTAGAAAAGAGCCTGAATTTTCCATAAAGAAATACAGATAATGAGGTTAGAGAAAGTGGGGGAAAGGAAAATTTTGCCTTAGTACTGGAGCAAAACCAGCACATGTCCACTGACTATGTTATAGGAGTTAGCTGTAATCCCTCCTAGAAATCAGCAATTTTAAAAACAAAGTGTGAATTACATAGTAAGGCTCCAAAGGGTGTATAGATATCTCAAGGTTTCAGAGTATGCTTAGCATGGGTTAATCATATCAGCAACCCAAAACATTTTCTCCTGCAGCCACTTCTCACAAACAGCTTGGGTTTTTTTTCAGACATCCCACAAGTGAATTTTTCTTGTCTTTTGGAGGTCAAACACTTCTTAGGGTACGTAATATTCTCAATTTTGATGTTCCAAACACAAGTCACTTAGTAAGTTCTGAGCTTAGATAAGTAGTTATGATCAACTGAAGGTTTATGAGGCACAAGACCCTGGACTCCAGAGCTTTCTATGCATGTCCTACAAAGGAGGGGCCATGATGACTAACTGTACTTCACAGGATACTGAGGCACAGAGGGATTAAACGAGGCACATCTATGAGGTGGCTATGAAGGGATTCAAACCTAGGCAGAGATGAGTGACAGTCCACATTCTTACCCATTTCACCATGTCCCCATCAGAGCTGCTCTTGCACTTCAGAGGACACTAAGCCTCACCGGGAGAGCTTCTCACCTGCCGAGGACACAGGCTTCCCACAGTACATGGAGCACGGACAGATCCCAGGGGAATCAGTCCCTAGCTTTTTCCCCACACTGCTCTATGAGCGGATGCAGCAATGTGGCTCTCCTTCTCCACTTCTCCCATGGGTCCTTCCCTCACTTTACAAGAGGGGCACAACTCTCCTCTCAGCAAGGATATAAACAAGGCACAAACCAAAGGACTGGGAAGCATCTTTTAATCAAAGCAGCAAAAGCAGCCCCCTCCCCGCACCAATCTATCTATCTCATCAAGAGACGCACTTCCAGGAAGACTGCACTATTATAATTATTTTCAAAATTTGTAATATATTTCCCAGTTTTATTCATTGCCATCTACTGATACAATGACAACTTCATCCAAAGAAAAATATTTACACTTAAAATCTTGGGGTTACTAGAAATAAAGCAACCTTGAATTGCTCAAATTCTTTCCTCTCTCTCTGTCTTTTTGGAGAGGTATGGTGGCAAATCCCACTCTAGGAACAGAGACTTTTGGGGGCTGATTTACACAGGAGCAGTCTTTCCCAGGAATGGTGTATTTATATGTATTTGTTTTGTGGCAGAGAAATAGAATAGGATAATGAATTTTAAAAAGTTTAAACAAAAAGAAACATATAAACATAAAATACTATGGGGTATGTGCAATGGAAACATTATTTCAGAGGAAAAGGAACAATGAAATATAACATTTTTGACTACTAAAAGACTTGCTGGTGTATTTATAAATATGTGGCAATGAATATCAAATTGTACTGATATATAGCATCTGCTGGGTACATTTAACAACATAATGGTATTATTTTAAAATGCTAGCATTTCCCAATAGGCCAGAAATTATATTTTTTGCAATGACTTAAAGCTATGATTAAAAACCTTATAAATGGTGTTCTCAAAAATGTGAGGCGGAGGTGGGGGGGTGCATGTGTGGCTCAGTTGGTTAAGCATCCAACTCTTGATTTAGGCTCAGGTCATGATCTCACAGTTCGTGGGTTCGAGCCCTGTGCTGGGCTCTGTGTTGACAGCACGGAGCCTGCTTGGGATTCTCTCTCTCCCTCTCTCTGCCCGTCTCCAGCTCACTCACTTTCTCTCAAAAGAAGTAAATAAACTTAAAAAAAAAAATGTGAGACAGGGAATACTGTTTTTCAAAGTGCAAAAAAACTTGAAGACCCCAGTCCTAAACAGGTGTTTGGCATCCCAGTTTATTTTCAAAAATATTTAAAATCATAAGGGACAAAATATCTGCTGGAAGTAACAAACATTTCGTAAAACCATGAAGTCCACTGAAAAGCTGAGTTGAGTCTGGTAGAGAGAACTAATTAATAAAATAATTCCAAAAAATGAAATTCTGAAGAATACACCGAGTTTTATGTCCCACAAGAAAATAAGGGTTATTTCTAGAATCTTTGCAAGACATTCTATGAAGTGAACAGTATGGAATCTCTACTTAGTTAAAACAATACTGTATGAATTGATACACAGTCTTAACGAACTAAAAATATTATAATAGTAGAAAAATATGTTATTGGGTTATTGTGTCATCTGCTTTTCAGCTTTAATACAAGTAATATGATCAAAAATTCACTTGGATGAAGATACTGTATTTACCAAGGATGACATGGCAGAAAAATAACCTATTAGTTGTCCAGGTCCATTCCTTGGATAGGTCTTCCCTCACAGGAAGATTCTAAAGGCTTTTCAGTATTGGGAGCGGCAGTTAGCAAGGCCTGGTTTCTACTGGGCAGGACAGTAAGCAGTGAGCTGCTCCGTCCCATTTGCAGAGCTATCAGCACCCTCTACGGGTCTTGAGGTGGAACTTAATCTACAGATGAGGAACTCTTCAGCTGTCTTCTGCTTGCTTTATGCACAAAAGAATCAGCCTACACAGATAAACCTGTGGGCCAGACTGCATGAGGACAAAGCACTACCACTTGGAAGCTGTTACACACTCACTACCTTCCTGACAAATAATACAGGGTCCCCTGGGTCACTTTAAACATTTCACTGACTGCACTTCTGGGAATACATCACAAAGGCCCAATTACACTGCGCCCAGCCTCAGCAATCAGCAATAGAACAAAGTACATCTGTCCCCAACCAGGGTTTTTGCAACTACGATGGCATTTCTCAGAAAAGAGTAATCACGATACCATCAAAGAGAAAAAGTAACTTTCTAGCTAGCACTGTCAAATCTCAAAAGCAAACAACTGAAAACTCTGCTTTCTTTTCTTAGTACCTACAAAGATGAATCTCATAGCTCCTTTCTTTATGAATCTTGGAGTTGATGATTTCTTGATAACCCTATCACCTAAGAAATTACAAAGTTTTCTCTAATTCAGTACATGAAGGAGGAAGTTATGATACCAAAGTGCAAAGTCAACTCATTTTCCCTCTTCAAGAATGTGTGGATGTCTCTAAGAAAAAAAGCCCCAGACTCAAAAGCTTCTGCCTCCATGACCATGGTCATGCAAGGTCAGCTCAAGTCTATCTAACACCCTAAGCACGTCATTGAATGTGTGTAGGAAAACTGACTGCCATTTACAGTTGATACCCTGATAATGAAACTGCTGCACGTTACTCTCAGTTAACCTTCATTACAGGTTTAATATTACATAAATTACTCAAGTAATTAAGTCTACCAGAAAGGGACCAAGTAATTTTTAGATTTATTGCGACACATATCATCATATATAGGAACATCTGAAGTCCATACAGTTAGTTATAAAGAAATCCCACCACCACCACCACTCCCTGGATTAGAAAACAGAACACTGCTTGCACCCAGAAGCATCCCCCTCCTCCTAGAATAGAGTTCGTCAACCTCTGAGCTACTGACATTTTGGGATGAGTAATTATTTGTTCGGGGACAGAGGGGCATGGCTGTGCTGTACACTGTAGGATGTTTAGCTGTCTGGCCTCTACCCACTAGATAGAATTAACATCTCCCCAGCTGTGAAAACCAAAATTCTCTCC